CACAGTCTGGGCAGTCCATGGGAGCAGCTTAGAGATCAGCATAGAAAAGGAGGAACAGGGGGAAATCTCTGTGGAGGTGGGCAAGGTAAGGTGGCGGTTTACAAGTTATGCTACCTCTTTTGTTCATCTTTGAACATAAAATGATGCAAAAATGCAGGATGAAAAAGAGAGTCATGTTTTGCCAGTACAGAACAAAACAAATCCAGACTCAGATCAGTCGTAGTCAAAGTATTCTCAGGTTGTTCCTGTAATATGAGACACAATTACATGAGATATGTTAATTTTGCAGAATAGGTACACTACATGTTATGTATAAAGTTTTATTCTCAATCATTTCGACATGTCCGTTGACAAAGTTAGAAAAGGGCAATAGTTTGTCTGTTTTCTTCATTTTCTGTCTGACATATTGGATCATTTTACCTCTTCTGCTCATTAACACCCAACTGATCTGAAACCTGAGCTACCTTCAGCCCTGAAAAACTCAACAGAAACCTGTCAGGTTGAAATTTTTGTCTGAAGTTCTAGTGCAGACCTGTTAAATATTTCTGTTTGATGTAAATGTGCAATCGGGGAAAAAAAATTGATTTGAATATTTCACACGGTGAAAGATAAAAGACCACACCAAAGAGAGTAGAAAGTGGGAAGACTTCTCAGGAGACACAATTAGGCTTAAATCAACAATATTTTCTCGATGTAGGAGACTATAATGAATAATCCTAATTGAACTCGAACCGAGCCTTTAAAATTTTTGTTAGCATTGACATTTAAACAAACTCAACATCTTTTTGGACATTTCAACCCATTTTAAAGCATCATCATCTATCTGGACACCTTCCCATTGCTATTGTCTCATTTTCATGAACAGATTCCGGGGCTCTGCTGGGCATGCAAATGGACTTTGAAGAAGGTGAAGAAATTGGCCGGACCAGATGCAACATCAGAGGTAAAGTATTCAAAATGACTGACAACATAAAGCAATGCTGTAAAATTTTACCATGATGGGATAAGCTGTAGTGTAGTTTTTACTTTTGTAGGATATAAGGGCTGTACTGCTGAAAGCCTGCGATCAAATTGGAAAACTGAAAAGTATGTGCCGCGGATTCGTGAAAAAGAACTTGGACGAACTAGTTGAGGAGCTCTCAACCACTGACGACGTGAGGACGATTTGTGTCAACCTGAGAGCGTGCAAGTAAGTGACAGCAACACAAAAACCAATTGAGTAATACCACTCTAAAATGAGTCTTCTTTTTAGGTGAGCTTTATAATGTGGGACTAATTTTTTCTTTCTCTGACCTTTAGGCCAAAGGGGCTGATGGACCTACTATTCTACCAAAATGATGAAGACCCAAGCATTAAGATTTCTAAATTCTAAAACCGTCAGGGATCGAAATCAGATCAATAAAAAAAGTCTTGCCGCTTTCTTTTCCCTCTGGATAAACTGTCCTTCATTCGATACATAATGTATGATTAGTTTATGTGATTTCTGTACTTTAACCCAGCTTGTGCAAATAAATATCTAATAGACTCCTCTGTTGTTGTTTTTTTTACTAAATCTCATAGATGCAACACAGGTGCTGGTTTTCTCTCCACAGACGTAAAATATTAAAACACGATAAAACTATAAAAAATACCGTGCACAGAATAATCAGTCTCAGCATTCATCCGTAGAGTTCAGTATCAGTACATGAACATTTTTCACAGTGTGACTACAAAGCAAATAATTGAATTAAATGCTGTGACAGCATGCAAGCCTGTGCTTTCATCTTCAGAAACAAAAAAGTTAATGTTTAATACACAATTTTTTTGGCACGTTATAAAGAAAAGGTGTCACTAGAGACCACAGTGCCTTTCTCATTTTTAAATATTTCTTAGTTTTATAAATTTCTTTCATGTAATAGCCACCACATACATGTTCTACTCGCTCACTCGCCCCTGTAGATTTTAAACCGTAATCCATATTAATAAACCAGGGAAGTCTTCACACTACGGGCTCTATAATCAGTCTTCAAATCCTCTCTCGCCAATATTCTTGCAGAGCTACCCTGTCCTGATTTTTTTTCTGAGAAGGGTTTAAACCTTTGAAGGCTCAACGCATTGTGCAGTCCAATATGCTGTGAAGTGTTTTAAGATCACAGCAGATTTAAAAGAGAATCTGTCTTAAAGTGGCCCAAGAATCATAGGAATAAAGAAATGGGGATACTAAGTCCCTTTAATCATTCTTTTTTTTATTAAAATCACATGATTACTGAGTCGGCTGAAGACAAAACATAAGTACTTACGCAGAGGTAAACATAAATAAGGAAAATGTAATGAAGCATTAAAGCTACTTGCACAGCATCTTTGACAGCCATATCACTGCTGGTTCAGAGGCGACCCCTTTTTCTTCAGCTTTGACTGAGCAAAACCTAAGAAGAAATCTCTCCTTGATTACAGTGATAAAGAGAGAAAGTAAGTTCTTCCACCTTCGGCAAAGAGTGCTTCCTCATGAAGGGGCAGCAGCAGTTAGCAGGTACTTGGCACTGCGGTCCACACAATGTCCGTGTGGTCCAGCCGTGTCCCAGCTCTGCTTTAAAGTCTGCCGGTCCAGCTTGTTCAGGCTCTGAGAGCAGAGACGAAGGTCACGGACCAGTTCGGACAAATTGTCAAGTCCCTCAACGTTCCAGGGGCCCGACACCTGACAACCTGAGGGCAACAGGACACGTGACTGTGGGACATTTCAGCTACTTCTCCCTTCTGACCTACACTAACACAACGGGATACGACTGCCTGTACCTTGAAGATTCAGATGTGCCAACGGTCGAGCGGCCTGTCTGATGCACATCAGGATGCTGTGAAGGCCCGCCGAGGTCACTGAAGGGTTTCCTGACAGGTTCAGACTCACCAGGGCTGGGCATGATGGCAGGCACCTGAAAGGAAATACAAATAAAAAGGAAGGCAGAGACAAGTGAAGGATGTCAGCTCTGGTCTATTGCCAAAATAAAGTTGGAAAACATGGGAAATGACTCATGATTATTAGTGTAATTCATCCTTATTTTACCACAATATGAGAATAACAATAACACCTTTGTCTACATAACAAAGATTATGACGACAACATTTAGCATGCTCTTTTGGACAGAAAAAAAGAGAAACACAAACCTGGCCAGAGCAGCTACACTGCTGTCTGTCAGGCCATTTGCTGCCAGACTCAGGTGGGTCAGAGGGCACTCCTACAAAAAAAAAAAAAAAAAAGTATAAAAACAGTACAAAGACCTTTTTGGAATGGGCCGTGCTACAGGAGAAGTTACAGCTCAAGAGGCCAGTTCCCGCAGGACACAGCAGTATGAATGTGTGCACACCTGTGACAGGACTTTGGTGAGGTGTTCCAGTGGTGGGCAATCAGCTGGACCCCTGCAGACCGCGGACAGGTCCAGGTGAGTGAGGGAGTTGACGGGCAGAGTCTTCACGACCAGCTCGAAGCCAGTGGATCCCAGTGCATTGTGGGAGAGGGACACTGATTTCAAATGTCCTGTGCCCAAGGGATCAAAGACAGTAATTATACATTTACTCTTTATGAATAGATTTTTGAATATTGCTATATAAAAGGAAATACTCCGTCTCATCCTCTTTCAATTCGAGATGGACTAACACTAAAGGTCATCTTTAGTGTTCCCATTACCCTGGTTGTCCTTGTTCAGCGAGCTGAACCATTTAAAAAGGGGAAAAAAAGATCCAAGTTGAAAAGGAAGACGTAAAAGGGTCACCTGTCAGAGCACTGGCAAGCAGCAACCGATGCTGCTGAAGGAACCGGGAGGTGAGCTCACAGGCCTGTAGGGACAGCCTGGCAAGCAGGGGGCAGCAGGACAGAAGGCTGGACAGAGATTCAGACACCCTATCGCCAAGAGGGTTCATACTGAGATTAAGCTCCTCCAGGCACTGCAGGGGGAAACAGTCACATGCAACAAAGTACATGAGAACTAAAAGTATTTTTCTTTGAATTCACTCAATAAATATCTCACCCTGTTCACATGAGAAAAGAAAGAGTTCAAAGGTGTGAATTTTCTACAAGTAGAACAACTGAACCGAACAAACGAGGAGTAGCACTGTGGTAAGCAAAGTGTCAAAAGATTAAACAGTGTTGGAAATTAAACTAAGACGACATACTGTACATGTCCAGCAAGAGCTCAAAACACATGCGTGACCACAGTTGCATTTTTCTAGACTCGGACCATAAGCTTAAATAGATTCTTGTCAGTCCAGCTTGTACCGGGAATGCGGGGTGGCTGTGTCCCTTCAGGGCGTTCGCTGCCATCTCCAGTCCTTCGCCAGAAATGGAATTGGCAGAGATGTCCAGAAGCCGAAGGCGGGGCATGGTGGTGGTTGTGGCGATCAGTTCGGGGAGGAGGCTGTCGGAGAGGCGGTTGCCGGAGAGGCGCAGCTCTGTGAGGCTGGACTGAAGTTTAAGGGCACGCAGCAGCGGGGTGAGGAAGGAGGGGGGCAGACTGAGGCCACACACGGACACAGAGGAGCTCCCGTCCTGAACCTCACACAGGCGGGTGACGTGTTTGTTCTCGTCTGCGGGGACAGGAGGTCAGGTCAGATTATGCGGTGACACAGAGATCGGGGCGTTCTCCGTGTCCTTTCCTCACCAACTGCCAGGCTCTGACAAGCTTTCTTGAAGCGCTCGGGAAGAGGTGGGAGGTCCCAGGAGCAAACTTCAGCTAAAACCTGCAACACAACGCACCGTCAGCATACACAACTGATGCCCCGTTTGGAGGCCGACTAATGCAAATAAAAACTGTAAAAGACGGTTTGGGGCATCCCTCACTATATCAACCCACAAAGAGCAGATAAAACAATGCCCTGAGTAAACTGCTCACACAAACGAATAAAGTAAAGAGTTGAACACTCAAATTCTATGCATTCCTCTCACTTCTTCATTGGTGTGCAGCACTGTCAGCAGCAAATCTTGTGGTGAAAGCAGAGCGCCTTCCTTCTGCAGCGACAGACGGGGCAGGAGGCCACACTTCTGGTAGTAGCGCTGAGCCGCCTGCTCACATAACCACGACACGGTGCAGGAGTCTGCATCACTGGGACAGAAAGCAGACAAGAATAGACCAACCCACCACAACGCCCCTGTAAATAAGTGTCATCGAAAGCTTCAGTTCATTATGCTACTGACAGAACACATACACAAACCTTTGTGGAACGGGGATGAGGAACACATCTTCCTGAATCCTGACCCTCATTCTGATTGGTGGAGGCATGGATGCAGGCATTGGTGCTACCAAAGCTTGTGTTGGAGGCTAAATAGATTGAGGAAAGCATAATAACATCTAATCACATTTCATATATTGTAATATCCAGGGAAAATATGTACACAAAGGCAAAGTTCCTCTGGATTCTTGCACATCCTTATATCTATTTATCAACCCCATAAGAACCCAATGGGATCTAAGCTCATGCAAACTCTTGAAATGGCCCTTCCTTCTTGATTAACTAGCTCTCATGTGGAGACCCATTTATCACTGTCAAAAGTTAATCAAGGAAAAAAAAAAAAGAAAAAAAAGAAAGGTCCATTCCTGACAAATCATGCTTGAGCTATTTCCTCCAGCGATTCTGAAACATTAATGACCATCTCAAGCTCATCTTCTCCTGAATATCCACGGTAAAATATCACCTTCATCTGGAGCCGTCTATTTGTAGAGAGTTGAAGTGTTTCTGACCTGAACGTGTCTGTGTGGTGGAGGTGAGGGCGTGTCGGGCCTGGCGTCATCATCTGTAACAGTCGGGCTGTGTGACCTGCTGACCTCCCGTCTCCCCAACTTCAGCATCCCTGGCATCTGAGTCATTTTAACCTGATGAGGCTTCTGCGAGCCGTTCCATCTCCTAGAGTCACCCCGATTGCAGGACGAGTTGGCTACAGAATATGAGAGGAGGAGAAGAGTGTAATGAAGGTGACGCAAGCAACAAAATGCAGAGGAAAAACTGAAATGTTACCTCTGCTGGATGTGTGGGGGGTCAACTGCCTGTTTTGACTTCTGGCAGTCAACGACGAAGCGGTTTCCTGGCCTGTCGGCCCATCTTGCTCCATTCGAAGCCTCCTTCTCTTCTTTGGCTGCATTTCCCCCAAATCGTCCTCCAGCCAGTCATCGGCCGTATATTCGTCCTCAGGAACTAAAGCAGATCTGTTGCTGGACGAAACAGCAGGTGTGCTGCAGAACTGCTGCTGGAGAAGAGTTTTGGCACTGCCTAAACCCCGAATGGCACTGTGGTACTCCTGTCTCCCAAACACAGATTGGGTGGGGGCCTCTGCGTTACTTTCCCGCCCTGAGCCCGGGACCGCGCCAGGCTCCCTGTTAGGCGGGACGTCTTTTTGACTTGGATCTCCTGGGGAAGCGCGCCTTGCACGAACGGGACGGAGGGGGCTGACGGGACTGTCTGAGTCACTGTCATCTGAGCTGCCATTGACCTGAAAGCACACACGCGCACATTTTCTGCTGTCATAACTCAGATGGCTCAGACAGAATATGCAAAAAGGAACTGTGCAGTGTTCTCATCTTCACCAAACCCGTTTGTCCGTCATTACCCCGTAGAGGAGCGCGGCCTCTGTTCCTCTGGCTCTGTGCCGGCGGGATGAGCAGTCGCTCTGCTGCCGTCTGGGGCTGACGGCTGCTGCTGCCTGAGCTTCGGAGCTCCTGCTGCTTCGGGGCCGGTGTTGGCTGGCGGAAGAGCCCCCCCCAGTGGCTGACAGCGGCTCAGAGTTCTCTGCATCAAACAGCTGGCTGTCCTGCAGGGCATCAAAGGGCTTGGCTGGGGCGGGAGCAGCAGGCACTGTGGTTTGCACGGAGAGCAAAAAGCAGCATTTGAAAGTGCACGTCAAAGGCAAGAGCAGGGCGAACGTGACAGAACAACGTTGAAGTTTTACCTCCTCCTGCTAGAGCCTTCCTAAACAGTTTCTCTGTAAGGGCACATTCCCTTCTGGTCTCCTCGTCCAACTCTCTACTGTATGTCCTCTGCCACTGACGCAGGGTGTCCAGGGGAGTTTCACCCTGAGGTTGGAGAAAGGAAAAAAAGGAGAAGCACCAGTCAGTCACTTCAGCCAATTCCCATAGTACTCAGTAATATGAAGTGAGGATTTACTGTTCTACCACACATTTGTTGAAGTAAACATGATTATTAGTGGCCTGAAAGCCATATAAAAAAATAAAACAAGACACAGATATGAATGATAACTGAAAGCTGAGAGGGTGGGGGGCTTCAAATGATCTCTACATGCAAGAACAGTCAAAACATCTTGGATGAGAGGGAATTTTTCATGGAAGATGATCCAAGTGCAAAGCAACCCCAGGATTCCTGATTAAGGGAGAAATGCTCACATACGATATGATAGAGACTTGATCATTACCTATATCTATGTTTTTAGGATGTTATTTCCAGTTAACCCTCCCATCACGAAAACGAAAGTTTGACATAATACTTATTTTAGCGGTACATTAGTATTTAGTGCATGTGAAAAATCTAATCTAAGAATTCTCTGATAAGAAGTCAATATCTTTATATCTCCAAATTACACTTCTTTTTATGAATTCTGAATTGAAAAATTAATAATTCATTTCTACATAAATTATATTTCATGGCACTACACGAATGATACCAGATGTTTGCCTTTACCAATATTTACAGTAATAACATCATATTCCTATATTTAACAAGATTATCCATAACATTATTACTATAGAGTAACATGATATTAATAAATTCAAAATTGAGATATGGCTTTCATAAATACATTTAGTGTTTTCCACTACTGCTTCCTAAGGTTAGAGATTATGGTGTTTCTCACAGACACAAACGCACCTTGGAGTTACGCAGTGAGACAGAAGCCCCCCGCTCCACCAGCAATCTCGCCACTCCTAAATTGCCACAAGCGAGGGCGTCATGCAGAGGAGTCACCCCCTCACACAGGGGCCCGCCAGGATCGTTGATGTTGGCGCCTCGCTCCAGCAGCACAGCTACAACATCTGCATCAAAGAGAGGGAAGCCATGGGTACGCCCAAAGAGCACCAGTTTGTTTCCAAAATTAAAACCGTGAAGCAGGATTTATGCTGACAATCAGCAGTCAGTTACCATAGTGACCGTGGTTGCAGGCCTCATGGAGGGGTGTCCAGCCACAATAGTCCCTGGGGTTCACTGGGTGACCCTGACAGGGACACACGTGAAACTTGCCTGATGTTACAGTTTCTTGACATGCTCATTTGAAAAAAATGTGTCAAATGTTTATGAAAAGAACTGAAAATAAAATATTCATCGCTGAGCTGGGCCAATCGCTCTTCTTGAGTTTAAAAGAGAGGTGAAGCGTTGTAATGTGGTAAATATTTAACAAGTTCTGGCTCACAACGCAGCTACGACAAGTGTCACAACCTGCCACGCAGTTTGAAGCGTAAATAGGAGCTCTTGTTTTTTTCCCCTCACCTGCTCCACCAGATACTGGACCTGCTTCAGGTTTCCATCTATACACGCTCTGTGGAGAGACGTCTCCCCTTTCTCATTCCTCTTGTTCCACTAAATCAGAACCAGACGAAGAGAAACAAAAGTTCAGACAGCGAATATCTAAAATGAGGGCTAATGGCTGAATAACTGTAACAACCGCCTCACCCTTCCCGTCTTCCTCCTTCCTGACACCATTTTGTCATATCCCTCCAAATCATCATCTAGAAACCATGAAAAAAGCAATGGAACACAAAGCAAATATGCATGACACGTTCTTTGGAGCAATCTGTCTCTATGCCAGCTCCCTGTAAGCAGGCAGGAAGTTCACAGTCTACCTGAGTCAGAGAGAATGACATCACTGTCATCCAGAGGTTCACTGTTGTCCATCTCGTCCTCTTCCTCCTCCTCTCCATCACTCCCATCTGGACGCCAGCCCTCTGAAGCACAGAGCTCGCGCAGCTTGTCCTCTGTGTCATTAAGATTCGATGAGCCGCGGCGCCTCTGGGACGCCAGCCAAAGCGACAGGACGCGTTTCTGTGGGAGTGAAAGAAGCCGTCACTCCTTTTCTCAACTGAGCACAGGCTGGAGGCTTTTGTGCCCTTTTGCCTTTCTCTTTAAATTGAAAGTTTCTGGACTGAAACACCTCTCAAAGTCTGAACAAATGTCCTTTTATCTAAATCAGTAAGTAGTAAGGTGGCCCATTATGCATCAAGCCAATTTTAAAATTTGATCAGCTTAAATTCCGCTGTTTTCTTTTTTAAGTGGAGGTTCAGCTTTTAACTGTCCAATATAACTCACCTGCAGCCTGGCCTGTCCACACGTCTGAGCACAGCGTAAGGCGGTGCTGTAGCTGTTGTCCATCTCCTCAGAGGCACAGCCGTCCTCCTCCTTAGCCGCTGCGATGTTCAGCCATGTGCTGCACTCCTGATAAACGAGCATGAGCTACTTTACTCACGTAAGATGGACAAAATGATAGCTTACATCATAGCAGAACGTTACAGCTGATTACCACTAGCTCAGGCATCTACTGTGGGAGGATTTTTTTTGTTTATTTCAAATGAAAATATTTTTGTTTATTTCAGCATTAAAATGGGCATTAACTTTATCCTCCATGTACAGAGCTTTGGGGCTTTTGCAACCCATAATGATGGCATTTTAGTGTGGAACGCAGCGTTAGCGGGCGGGCTCATCGTGATCACCTCGGCGGCGCTGCCCTGTCGTAGCGCCAGCTCCTTTCTGTAGTGTTCCACTGCCTTGTTGTGTTGCTTCAGGTCCGTGTAGGTGGCGGCCAAAGACACGTGGATGACTGCCAGCTCCCTGGCAGGCTTTCCCACGGCCTCAGCAGCCTTTAGCTAAACCACCAGAATGCAGTGAATGAGTCAGAATGAAGTGAATGAGGGGAGCGAGAGCTAAACCGGCTTGGGTGTGCCACCTCTCGGCGTTTCCCACCTGAGCCTGATAGGCCTCCAGAGCCTTGCTGTAGCAGCCGATCTTACAATAGAGGTCCCCCAGCTGCTCTGCCAGCTCCACAGCCTGATGGGAGCCCAGTCTCCTGCCCTGGTCTTCCCCGAACTCTTCCTCCAATTTACAGCCCCGGTCAGCTGTGAAATTGGCAACACAAATGACACCATCAATGACACCATCTTAGAAAGTTTGAGAAAATAAAAGTTTCCATCTAAACACTCCCTGTGGAGAGTAAACTGCCCAGAAAACCTGCTGCTCACCACATTTGAAAGCTTTCTTTACTGCTAGTCTGTCTACCGGCTGCTGGGAACCCAACAGGAAAGCTTTCTTCAGAGACCGCCTGGCTGCCACAAAGTCCCCAAGAGACAGCTGCACCTGTTGGCATCATCAAATCGCAGAAGCATTAGAAAACTGCTGAGCGGGGAGAAAAAAAGGCTGCGGAGGTCGGCGGATCTCAAACCTTGCCGATGCAGTGAAAACACTCGCTCTCACAGAACTTGTCCTTCATCTTCCTGGCACACTCTTTGGCTTGCTCCAGGCAGCGGACAGCATTCGAGTGTCGGCCGTTGCGGAAGAAGATGTTCCCCAGGTTAAAGTTTGCACGGTAGAGATCTTCCAGCAGCTGACTCTTCCTGAACAGGAGTTCAACAAACACTGTTCAAAAATGCGACTGTGACCCTCTATAGTGATAAGTAGGAACTAGAAAGACAGACTGAAATACATGTTCTACTATGGTCTTTATGGTCTTACTCAGCAATAAAGACGCTGCGCCGGATGAAGTCGCTGCAGAGTTTGGGCTCCCCCAAGTGATCGCAGACAATACCGAGATTGAGGAACAGACGCGCCTTCATCTCGCTGATCTCTCGCTGAGGAACAGTACCTGCACGTTAAATGAAGATTGAAACAAACACTTTACCACAAAAAAAACACAAACGCCATAAAATCATTCAATATTCCTCATGAGATTTGTAACACCAGTCATCGAGCCAATGGAGAGACAGTACACACCTTCCAGACGCTCATCCACAATGCTCAGGCTCCTCCGGAAGGCGTCCTCTGCTTGCTTTAAACTGCTCTTTGAGTTGTCCGATTCATATCGGAAGAGGTAGGTTCGACCGATGGTGGCCAGGGCCCTTTGCTCCTCAGCGTGATCTCTGACAGAGCGGGCCAAGTCCAGGTGCAATTGCTGGTGCTGGAGGGGAGGAAAAAAATCAAATAAAATGCATTTCACAACTCCTGGTGTACATCAAAATTACCAAGGGAAATATTTGATCTGCTTACTCTCAACGCAGCCTCAATGTTGCCCATCTCTGCATAGCACTCTCCTATTTTACGGTTCGCCACAGCTCGTCCTATCACATCATGTAAGGCCTCGGAGAGGGACAGCTCCTGTTGGTGCTCCCTGATGGCTGCCGGATAATCCCCTGAAACAACCAAAAACACACGTCAGGCTGACCTTTCAAGCAAAAAGAGCATAAAGGAAAAAAATAAAGTGGAGAGGAGAAAAAAACTCACCACTCCTGGAGAGCAGCTCTCCGAGCTGATTGCAGATGTTGGCTTCCTCTTTTAGGTTCCTGTTAGCCTGGGCTTTGTTTTTAGCTTTCTGGAGCTCTAAATAGCCAGTTGAAAACGACGTCGGTTAGGTAAGACTCACAAAGCATAAAACGTGCAACTAAAGACATACTTACGTTTGATTTCCCGCGAAGAGCTCATTTTACTCCCGTTCTGATCGCCGCTGGCTGAGCTAACTTTAAGCTAATTGTGAGAAACCACTCAGCGCGCGCCTCTGCAGCGCTGTTGACAGCCCAAACTCTACTCACAAAGGCAAGAAACCAAGCTTTCATCACATGTGCCTTTCCACATGTCCGAAAATGTTAAGCAGCCCTGTGCACGTCCGATCGTACTGCCTGTCACGGGAAAGAGCACCGTACATCAGTCTTTTTGTTTTAGCTTCGGTTTTAGGACAACTTCAGATTGCCCCGCCAGTAATACGTCAGATGCTACGTTCAGGGGATCTTTTGCCCGTCGTTTTACCTCTCAGGCACAAATTGAAAACGAAATCCTGATACAGTTTGTATTTAATTTTTTTGGTCACCAGAACAAAAGGATGGTGTATTAATCTGAAAAATCATATTTCATTGTAGTGATACACTGCACTTGAACGAGTAATGTTTTCCGAAGTCCCTCAAAAGACCATCCTTTCGAGTCTGACAGACTAAATTGAGGGCATAATAGAAAGCTTCATACACCAAACGTTCATTGGCCAACGCTACAACGTGATGTAGCAGTGGCACGAACAACTTAAATATATTTTCACTTAAAATCCATTAAAAGAGTCATGATATAAGATTAAGACAATACCCTAACACCATGTGACTTTAACAACACACATGAAACCAAATGAGAAGTTTAGGAGTAGCTTAGAGCTTCTTGGTCTGCTTTGAACACTGCGACCTCCTGTGGGGTAAGTCAGGTCTGTTTGATAGAGGAATATTTCTATATCCATCTTATTTTTTCTTGTTTTTCTAGTTTCCAATTTTTTAAAAATGGAAACGCACTTTAAAAAACCTGTCTGGCTACAAAAAACCCGAATTCAGTAACTGATATTAGATACTATATTATTATTATGCGGTTTTTAAAAAAAGTTCCTCAATAAATGTCTCCCTCTATAAGATATTTAGGTAAATGTTTGGTTCAATATATGCTCGAGTATATAATATGATAAACACTTACATTTTAAAACCAACCATTCTAATTCATTTTACGTATTGGAGAGTATACATACAGGCTTGAAAATGAAATCCTTAGTTAATTTTATAATACAAATGAAGGACATGGGTGGCAGCTGTGTGTATGTTAGAAATATTAACATTAATCGGATAATAGTACTATTCTAAAACCAGGATCCACAGATCTGTAACACTAACAATGCCTAAGATTATTTAGACCAATTATTTGGACTGACGTAGCTGCAGCTAACCCAAATTCATGATCTTATAATCCAGCTGTTCAGTCTGCCACACATGGCCAGGCATAGGGTGACGTCAGTTTCATTTTTTTCTCTACTGGTTTGTTCAGATCGACAGCACGTTTTGACAAATTGCAATGCAGCATTTTGACCCTGAATTGAATATACACACTCCTCCTTTCAGTTATTCATCTATTTATCTCTGAGATTGATATTTCAGTGATTAAACCCTAATATTTGGTGTTGGTAGTCAAAAATGCTTTCAGTGCTTCACGTAATACATTTTTTATGAAGTCTCTAGCTTTTATGACATAGTATTCTATATCGCATATAATCTGGGTCTGTAGACACATTTATATGTGTAATCCTTTTGGGGCACCCAGAAATATTTCCCAGGATGAATCCCCTGGGGGGGAAAAAACAAAAGAGCGGAGAAAACCACAGCGTGCAGTCATAAAAACAAGCTCTGCTGGCATTAAGCCAACCAGCAGAAATGCATCTGTTTAATGCAGGATGTCAGCAGGAGGCTTGAGCATCAGAAGCAGCTGAGAAGCCTCTCAGATCACGCAGAGCTTCGTCTCTGCCTCTGCAGGTCTCCGTTTCTACACCGGTGACCCTACAAATGGGGATGCTGCATCATTGTGAGAATTGGTGTTTCTGGGCGGTGCAAAGTGGAGTAGAGCACATCAGAGTGCAGAGTATCAGAGAGCAGCAGAGCACAGAGAGGCAGGCACATCCGCCGCTGGAGGGATCAAATCTGTACCATCTGACGCTCAAGGATTTATGGGTTTAGTCAAAATTGCTTTTCCCACTGTGGAGATTAAGCACCGTAGGATGTTTTCCACTCAGGCCGTAGAATAGCCCAGTGCAGCTTCTGCTGCTGTTACTGTTTTTTCTCCTTCTTATCGGCTCCGGCTCTGGAGAAGGGAATGTCTCAGGAGGGCAGAGTGCTCCAGACCCTTGCTGGGAGTGGATTCTGATTGACAGGAGAGGTCTGTCCTCTGGGGAATGTGAACCATGCAGGTGGATGCCGTCCTTGTCCTCCTCTGTGTCTGGCTAGCAGGTGTGGCTGGAAAGATGGTTCAGTCAAGAGGTCACAAGCTGGAAACCTACAAACAAAGCAGGTAATGGAAACAAAGTGGTGGAGCTACAGCATGTCAGATACAAACACCGGCGTGTGCGTGTGTGTGTGTTGGCGGTTTATGAAAACTGAACTGTTTATGGGAAAAATGTTTATGAACTGATTTGTTAAAGTTGCGCTTGCTGTTATTACTTTGATTTGTGCTTGTAGATGTTTTTTATAGTTCTACAAAATGCTGTCCACTGTTTCCTGTATCACCTGTGCTGCCCCCCCCTCTGAAAAACACACTTATTCAGACAGCAGATTGGAGAGATAAGGGAGGGAGACCTAAATCCCCAAATCTATTTATGTACTATGGCTGAATGCTGTGTTCTTGTGCCCCACAACTGCTGCGGGGCACCGAGTGACCGTTTTCTCTGCCAGCAGCAGTTGTAGTCAATGTCATTTTCAGGTGATTATTTAGGCTAATTGCTGCCTTGTTAATGCGTCCATTGGATTAAATGTTTTGAGTGGGGACTGAACTAGATCTGGGATTCACTAAAGCGCCCGTGTTTCTCTATGTTATTGATTGAAATGGCTTAAACATCGGAAGTGATTTCAAAGGGGATTGCATTTATTCGTTTGCTGTCTGACACATCGTATGTTGTCAAAAAGACGTGGTGCTTGTCAGAGGGAAAAAAAAAGGAAAAGCAAATGTTCACAATTGAGACTCAGTAATCAGTAAAACCGGGTATTTTTAAACAGTGATGGAGAAAAAAAAATCAATTCTGAAAGTAGTTGCAGATTAATCCTCTATAAGAGAGAACTTGATTAATGAACTAGAGCAACAGAATAATTGATATTTTTTAAAACATTTAACATTTTCTCAGATAACATGTCCATCAGATAGAAGCATGATACTGTAACTCCTATAAAATCCGTATCTTTGTCTCGAACTTGCTTGATAGATTAATCATTTTAAATGGCAGCTGAACTGTTTTGGAGAAACAGTCCATTTATATAATTTGATTCCAATTTTGTGACATAAAATAACATATCATCACAATAATGATGTAAAAGGTTCTGGAGCCCATGTAAAACATCCATCCATCCATCCATCCATTATCAATACCGCTTATTCCCTGATGGGGTCGCGGGGGGAACTGGAGCCTATCCCAGTGGTCAACGGGCGAGAGGCAGGGTACACCCTGGACAGTCCGCCAGTCCATCGCAGGGCCACACACAAGACATACAAGGACAAACAACCACTCACACTCACATTCACTCCTAAGGGCAATTTCCCCAATCTACCCCATGTAAAACAGATTTACAAATTCAATAAGGTATTTATGATATGGTGTACCATGGCATTCAGTAGACTGGTTTCACAAGGATAATATCTGTACATCTTTCTTGATGTTTTGTGTCTTTACAACTGTTTTGTATTATCATCTCATTACCAGTAGATCACGAATGCGTCTCTAAAGCCCATTTCCTGCCTGTCACTCCCTAACCTTTCTTAGCTGAATGCCACTGAACCAAACGCCCAATCAAAAGCAACAGAGAGCTCTAACAGAAATGAGAGTGTCATCCTGATGAGCAAACCCCACCAAAACGCCACACAGAAAGGAGCCACACGTGGCAGCACGTGACATTTTTCTTAACCATGTCGTGTTTATGCAGCAACACGGTGGTCCAGTTTGGAACGTCCCTTGGGAACAGGGACCAGGGAACATGGGCCCAGGCTGTTTAAGATGCTGATACAGAGATGAAACTGTTTGAAGACAGACACTCCAGCGTTTGCTCTAATTTCTGTGATTTTTCTGAAGTCTTGGTTGTTTAAGATGGCGAAAAAATTCACTTTTTTCATGACCCCTGCTGAGTCTCTCTAAGCTCAGCTCATCCGTCAGGATACTGTCTGAGGCTCTGAATCGAAAGGCAATCTGACTGCTGTCTACTGCAGATAAGTCACTCACTTATCAAACACACTGACTTCACACAGCCATACTTAGAAAATATTCATTTAATATCTCCATGCCAGACTTGAAACAGTTTCTCAAGTCCTCATATTCCATTTGGAGGAAGAGTAGCAGTCAACATTTTGTTGCATTTTGCTGCAAGAACAAAAAAGGGTGTGTGTTGGACCTGAACAAGTTATTTGCTGCCTGGCTGAGTAATTTCAACAAAACCCATGCAACAGCTATATCGTGTTTTATTGAAAACGGAAAATCATTTTTATTTTCAATTGTTGAATTTAATCGGTCTCCAGATTAACTGCAGATAGATTTTAGATTAGTAAATCTGTCCCAAATCAACCCGTCACAGCTAATAAGAGCCATGGGCCAAATGCCCAGAAAGCAGTGAGATCTTGTCTCAGAAACAATTTCATGCTTTAGCACCATACTTGGTTGCATGGACTCAACACTTTCCTCACGTTATCCTTATAAAACCGCATCCATGTTTTAGGTCATACATAAATCAAAGGCAATGTGGCAGCCAAGCCCATCTGAACCCCCACTGTGAGTAGGTGTTTCAGCTCTTGTCTGCATACAAATGTTTTGCAACCAGCTGAAAGCAACGCTATTAAGGCTGATTGGCTTTAAGAAAGATAAACTCACGTGTCTGCTGACTCTACACACACAAGAAGAAAAGAAGAAAAAGTGTCCAAAGAATAAGAGGAAAAGAGGGGAGTCTTTTCCAGCCTGGAAAACACACATTTGTCTTGCATAGATAGATTCTAATTCTTGCCAACTGCCTCAAGTGAGAATCAGTCTTTGCATTAATATCTACTGAAGATGATAAGGTTTTTCCCGCTCAGGCAAGTACAACATTGTCTGCCCCTGAATGCTATCGTTGTAGAATAATTCCCATCCGCTTAATATATTCAGCATACCCTGTCAAATCACAATTTCTCTGCCTTCATATGAAGTAACGTTTTTCACATTGCAATTGTTATTTATAGATCAGAGGCAACAAAACAAGCAAGACAATATGCTTCTTGCTATTAAGCTTCTCAACCTTTAGATTGAAATAATCAAGTGTGGAATTACAAAACTGCCGGTCCTTATGCGCATTTTGACAAAGCTCTCAGAGTTCATGACACGGAGAGTCAGATCCGACTGAAAGGACATCTGTGAAGAGTTAAAGCTGTCAAATCTAATCAATCCTCTCATTGAAATTGCAGTTATTTAAAGTGATCATCTGAACCCTACAGTGATTAAGATGATCATCAAGTACAAGGGGGAGCACAATCATAATCATCTGTGGAAAAAAAAAGAAGCAGAAGCAACCCGCTGTGCGATCTTTAACTGTCTGTCTCATCTTTTTATTAAGTCTGCCCTTTGTTGTCTGTTGTGTTTTTTTTCCATCTAGTTAAAAGTCGCCACACATCAGTCGTCCGCTGACATGTACAGTCTGTGAATACAAATCAAATGTAAATCTCTCGTTCCTCTTCTAGCAGGGGGGCAATCTGGTATACTTATGCAGAAGTCAAACTCCTCCTCACTCTGTCTCTCTTCGCCCCACTCCTCCTCTCAGAAGTGTGAAATTCCAAAAGGATCTGGATGCTGCTGGCGTGGGTTTGTGGGAGTTTTTGCAGTATTACTCTGTGCATCCGATGCCTTGAGGAAGAAGAACTGAGGGGAAGATTTGTGTAGGACTGAGGAAGCCCACATGGAAAACATCAGAAGAAAAAAACTCATGATAATTAGGAGTAGTTACTCAACGATGTTTTTGGGTCATATTTGGATGAGAACAACTATTTTCTGACTAAACATGGTAACGACATGTTTACTAAAATACATCCACGCTCAGATATAACTAATTGATGATATCGAATATAATCTTAAATGCACAGGTAAAGTGAACACGGCACATTTTGTTTTGATCATGCAGTATAAGAAGTGTTGAGATACGCAAAATGAAAACACCACATCCATATGTTCCATTTAATCCCCTTTATTTTTCAACTTCAAATTCCTTCCTACTCAGGCCTTTGTGAGCTATTATTATGTCCAAAATGCCCTATGTAGAAATTTGACCCAGTAACCGTAAAGCAGCCCCGGTAGCGATGTGTGCCTCCGAGCCCAGAGCAGAGCCAGGCAAGGGCGAAGTGGAGCACGCAGGGCACGCCGGTGTGCAGACACGCAGCCTGCTGGGTGTTGTGGGCAGGCAGGGAGGGGATTGAAGAGGCATTTCTGGCAAGAGGATTAGGAACCCGCAGCTGGATAGATGTAGCTGTAGCACCCATTGGCCCCCAGAACACTGCATCCAGCACCCAGTGAATTGTTATACTTATCAGTGTCATTATTTCTTTCTGCATGTTTGTGTGTGTGTGTGTGTGTGTGTGTGTTAACCCCCCGTCTCTCCCCTTTTCTTCTGTGATGTTTTCTTAATATGCTGCATGTTTTGACAGGGATTTGGCTTTGACTGGAGCAGCATCCTCTTATTCATTAATCCATTTTAGGGGTTTGAAATTCTTTGTTCTGCGTCTCAGCTTGGGGTCTCAAAATGAAGTTTTAGAACTGCTAAATAGTGAAGGGCTTATTAAACCAAGAAATTCAGGCTTTTTCACGATGGAGGTAATGAGACGATGCTCTCTCTTGTTTGTGGTTGAAATGAACTTGATACAACAGAAATTGAAAGAGATTTTGACCATTTACTTAAGAAAGAAAAATTATATTACGTATTAAGTGTGCAACTTTTACCATTATTGTTTATTTACCATTAATGTTATGTTTTATGGTAGATCTTGTTACTTTTGTGTCTCATTGTTACTACTTTGTTATATCTTTTCTTTATTAACAGATCACGGAGAGACACCGGAATGGATGGGGAGGGTGGCCATAAAACTGGCAGGCAAGTTTGAAAGATGTTTTTCTATTGAAATTCCTTTCCAAATAGCATTTTTTAGCAAAACCTGAAATGTTGCATTCCTCTTAGTTACAATGTTACATTCCACTGCTTATGTTTTGCAGCCCAATGTATAAAAGAAGCCCAGATCTCACAAAATCTCCAATGACAAAGTCTGAACAGCTTCTGAGGATAGATGACCATGATTTCACCATGAGACCTGCATTTGGAGGTTCGAAACACTGACCAAGTCCTTTAAATGAAAGTGCCTTTTATCTTATGTAAATTGTAAGCTTGGAACAGCTTCATCTTTGGTCAACAAGTTGCAGCTGGATAAGGTCTGTGACGAGGTCTTTGGTTCGGACCAAACAGTCCCGTTAGCACTAAGCTCTGGAAGACCTTGGTGACACTGACAAGCTGTTCTGTTTCCAACTGAAGCTCAGCGCTGTGCTCTGAGGGATTTTTTTCTGTACATTGGATAGATTTGATGTCATCTTTTTGCATGCTGGGATTATGTTGACAGAAATGCACACAGCCTTTGTTTCCAAAGATACTGATAATGTGTACGCTATATATTTTCAGCTATTTTTTTTTTCTTCCATTTTGAGATGACTGATCTCAAATGCAGTAGCTGTGTTTCACAAAAAATAACCAGCTGCAGGGGCTTTTTTTTCCTTTGCGGCATGTGCTGTTTTTATCATACAACTTTTCATCACACAGCAATCAGCTGCTGAAAACACACGGAGTGATCCTTTACAGCGTCCGAGTTGAACCATGATGTAGAAAAGTGAGCTGGATTTCATCCACTGCTGCATCAACTTTGATCCGTTATTATGACCTGATTGTATTTGTGCACTGTCGGAGGATGATAATGCAGAGTAGAAGGGATGAAATAGGTCAAAAGAAGAATCAAAGCCAGACTGTCACAGTCACAGCACCAGCAGTTGCTCTGTATTTGTTTGATTTTTTTTTTTCCTTTAACTGCTCTAAAACCTTGTTTCTATTTCTGTGTCTGTAATGCTTTTGTGTTCTCATATTTATGAATGTAGAAAAGCTGTTACCATGGTGAAAATAACATTTGTGAAAAGGATTTTCTGACATGAAACATTTCATTTTAGGTCCTCCAATTCCCGTTGGAGTTGATGTTCAGGTTGAAAGTCTCGACACTATCTCTGAAGTGGATATGGTAAGTTTAACTTAAGTATAACTTAAGAACAACATAAGAAAGTTCAACTATAACAATTGGCAGTTATAGTGGAGGATGATATCTAACTATTTAATCAAGCAGGATTTCTTTTTGACATCATTTTGTGCATATTTAAAACATTTATCATGGTTATCCTACCAAGCCCATTTTGTCCTCCTTGCCCTGTACTATCTTTTCATGAGCCTCTTGTTTCCAAACTGTACCATGTTTGACCATGAAACATCTTTATTCATAATTATGGTGATGAAAGACTTCTGAACAAATCACCGACATTTAAGACTCCCAATAAGAGAGGACTTGAATCACAGTCAATATTGCCCAGTTGATCTTAGGACAGAATTGCAAGTAGCATTTTCGTAATAGAATAATTTTGACAATCTTGTAGTTCTTTACACACCATATTCTAAAAATCTGAAACATATGCCATCTTGTTTACATTCTGTAGGACTTCACCATGACGCTCTACCTGCGTCACTATTGGAAGGATGAACGGCTAGCATTTCCAAGCACCAACAACCAGAGCATGACCTTTGACAGTCGCTTGGTGAAGAAGATTTGGGTCCCCGACATGTTCTTTGTCCACTCAAAGCGCTCTTTCATCCACGACACCACCACAGACAACGTCATGCTGCGGGTTTATCCAGATGGCAACGTGCTGTACAGTCTCAGGTGAACAAAAGCCACATTGGATTGGAAAGGTGTACAGGAGTATAGCTTTTGTTTCACTGCAATGCAAAAATGACAGCAAAAAAGAATACAATTAAATGTATCATCAACCAAACACACAGCTTCATTCCATGCACTTTACACCATTTATTTTAGAAGAGATATGTAACTCTTGGCTTAAAATGTATTATTTCGTTAAATCTAAGCATATCTTTTATCTTTTGTTTTGATGATTTTCTTTACAGAGTCACAGTCACTGCCATGTGCAACATGGACCTCAGCCGCTTTCCCCTGGACACACAAACCTGCTCCCTGGAGATTGAAAGCTGTGAGAGAACAAAGACACATAGGCTATATCCAACTGACTTTTTGAAATTTCCTGGGGTTGGCTCAGGTTTACATCCACCAAGTATCCGTATCTCACTGGATTCAGAACTAAACTTGAACAGTGCTGCTTTACAGTGTAGATTTTGAGCTTCTGAATAAGAGAATTGTGTCATTTCAGCTTTAATTTGAACATGATAAAAATGCACAACAAAACGAGTTTGACATGTGTAAAGCACCTGATGATTAATTTAATCTTTTGAAGAATAATATAATATTTTAAGGGGCACAAACCTTTAACCATCTGTTCTTATTGCTTCATCAAAGGTCTGCTTCAAATTTCAGTCTCTTTCCTCTTATTCCATCAGTGGTTATCATATGGTATATGAAGAGCATTCTGCTTTGCATTATAGCCTAGAGGGGGCATCTAGTGGGAGTTAAAGTCTTGTTATATTTTTATCTTTTTCGTCGTACATGTGTAGCACATTACCATGAAGATTTGTGTACGTAAAATATATTCTAATTTGTTTTGGGTTTTCTTTTCCAGATTGACTTAATTTCACACATTTCACCAACAGATGCCTACACAGACGACGACCTGATGCTGTACTGGAAGAAAGGCAACGAATCCCTGAACACGGACGACAGAATATCTCTGTCCCAGTTCCTCATCCAGAAATTTCACACCACCACAAAGCTGGCTTTTTATAGCAGCACAGGTACAGCAACACTACACAAAATCACTCTGGGATCAAAACTTCAATCAATTTGTCCACATTTCCTAAAAAAAGTTTATTTTCCTTTCTCTGAAAACTTGAGATGAGTTCCGTGAAGAATATTTTCTGACATTTTGTACCTTAGTACAAAATCAAATGAGTTCAACTCTTGCCAACCACTTGTATACTGCTGTAACACCACTATCAAAGCAGTGCTGCTTTCTCATAACCATATGTCACATTCCAGCAACCTGAAGCATAAAAAGGATTTTGTGTGCTATCTTTCTCTGCCAGAGTAGCTGGGACACTCTTCTTGTTCATGCAAGTGTTCATGCAGCTCATCGGCAGCTCAACGTATGAAGAAGTGTTTGTAACGGGGATTTTGCTTCTTCCTAGGCTGGTACAACCGCTTGTACATTCATTTCACCCTGCGGCGACACATCTTCTTCTTCCTGCTGCAGACTTACTTTCCTGCGACTCTAATGGTCATGCTGTCGTGGGTGTCCTTCTGGATTGACCGCAGGGCCGTCCCTGCCAGGGTGCCACTCGGTAAGCAAAGCTGTGCTTCCACAGAACGATCTCTGCAAAGGAGCCACGGTCACTGAGATCAGTTTTCAAGAGAAACACCGGAGGAAAAGGTTGCACGTTAACACATGCAAAAGACTTCCAATAATGTGTCTGTGTGAGCACCGACCCCCTCTCCAGACCACTCATTATCATTAGCTGGCATTGTTTATTTTTCTTGGAAAAAACTATAGAGCAGAAAAGTTTGACCAAGCTAGTGTCATGACTTTCCGCAAAAGTCATGACAATAAGTGATGACTGCTTCCACATATTAACATAATTAGCTTGGAAAAGCTCAATCTGCTCTTGTTTGTCAGTTTTGGTTGCACAATCAGGCAACACCAACCGTTGTGAATCATATTTTTTACATGTTTCTCCACTAATATGTTTGGAGAAACATGTAAATGCAAAATCAGAATATATCCCTGTGTGCATGCAGAATGATTTTCAAAAATTCCATCACCAAATTATGTAAATTTAAACATCACATCAACAACTTCATACACTGGAGTGTAAACAATATGTGGAGCAGATGATACAAAAACCGGAACACTGAATTCTATGTCATGGCGACTGTAACGCTACACCATAACAGAAAAAATATTCAGTACCTAACGACTTGTCTCTGAGATATTCTAAAATTAGATTTAGCCTCCGAGGCCTGTGGTCCAATAAATAACAGCACCACGGTGAGTAAGCTGTTTGTTTTCTCCCCTTTAGGCATCACCACAGTGCTGACCATGTCCACTATCATCACCGGGGTCAACGCCTCTATGCCTCGAGTCTCCTACATTAAGGCAGTGGACATTTATCTCTGGGTCAGTTTTGTGTTTGTCTTCCTATCGGTGATAGAGTACGCGGCAGTGAACTACCTCTCGACTGTCCAGGAGAGGAAAGAGAGAAAGCTGAGGGAGAGAGTAAGTGCCTATTTAACATGTTTATTCTATTTTAGCACATTGCTTGCCGTTCAAAAGAAGCTGACTTTTAGAAAAAATTTCCGTTATTACTCACATGAATACTTCTTTTCTTAAACAGACCGGGTCAATATGAATATGTGTGTGTGTGTGTGTGTGTGCGCATGAGAATTTTTCCATATATAAGATTTAGAAGAAATCACCTCCATTTTGCTGATTTCAGTTTTAGATATATACTGCATTGCAAACGAAACAGACATTTAAAAAAAAACAATAAGTCAGTTCAAATGAAGCATCTGCAGTTAAAAATCAACTTGGCTGAGGCTGACCTGATTTTTAATATAGGAACATTTTACACATCAAACTATTTTTTAACTGGAAGAAACACGAATTAATAATTCATGTATACAGCCAATAAACATAAATGTTTTCTAAATTGGCTTATGTCAAGCTGCTGTCAAGGCAAATCATTTCTGGGGCTGCAGTATTGCTATTCTTCATCTGCCAACTGCTGTGGCATATGGAGCCAAATTGCCCACACACACCCTGGGGAACATTTTCAGCACAAACATCTTTTTCCATAAATGTTTCATATTAAAGTAATTTTATTGGACTGCTTAATACCTCTGCTCAAAAAAGAAAAAGACGTAAGAAACTAATCCGTTTCTCTTGTTTTACTTTGTCTTAGTAGCTCTTTGAAAAGCTAATAAGACCATCAAACTTGTGTTGTGTTTTCATCAAAATGTCTTCTCTGTGTGTGTCTGCCCAGCTGCCGTGTACCTGCGGCATCGGGAATCCCGATGAGATGATGATCGACCCCCAGATCACTGGCTACGGGTCCATGGATGTCGACAACATGGGCAATTATGGGATGCCAGAGAACGGTGGGCGCCAAGAACAAATCCTGGCCCAGGTGGCGCTGAATGACCCACAGATCACAAGCCAGGTGAAGCCATCCAGAGGTTATGTCAACATCTGGATAGACACCCATGCCATAGACAAGTACTCAAGGGTGGTCTTTCCTGGAGCGTACATCCTCTTTAACATCATCTACTGGTCCATATACTCATAAGCTGGGATTCCTCAAATGATTTCATGATGGCATAACAAGAGCCCCGCTAGAAAGATGACCTGATTTACTCAGAGAAGAACTGCTCATTACATGCATGGGGCTCTTTAACCGACAGAGGACCATTGCCTTCTTGACCCAGCCACTTAAAACTGATGAATCAAAAATAAGCTACTGTGTTTGTTACTCCATCTAATCTTTGTGATTTCATGTTGTAGCGAAAATGTCGGTGGAAATGTGTGGACTTTGTTGTCGCCAGTGGACCGACTGCACACAGAGATGCAGGGCGATGGATTTGTGAAGTTTAAGTCTACATTTCAGTGCATGCACTGACCAGATTGTCAGCTGATGTGAACTGGAAACAGACAGTGCTTTGGCCAGCACATGGACTGACCCTCTCTGCTAATGACCCGTACATGACAATCAATGACACACTAAGGTTTTTAACTCTCTGAAAGGGTTTCATTAACTTTCTGCTGGAGAAAAATCATCGCTGTCCCGTCAGGGCTACATACTTTAGCATAAATACTGTCATGGAGGGCATATTGCCCAAAGATTTAGGAACTAAGAGTCCCATTGTAATCCAGTTATTATTAACGTGTATTATGCTTTGAGTTCTTCTTCTAAAAACTTTCAAAGAAGGGACATGTTGAACTGCTCGTTGGCTGAGATAAAAAAAAACTTAGGACTTTCTCAGTAGCTGCTTATATAACAGGAATAGTTCAGCACATCACAAACAAAGAAGATGTAAAGTGTGAACAATTGAGCTGTCAAACTGTTTGTTTGGTTTTTGTTTCCGTAGGATAGAGCCTGGTTGGCAGTTTCCTTCTGTTTCTGGTCTGTGCTTAAGTTAACTGTGTCCAAGCTGGAGCTTCATAAATATTATTTAATTAATTACTGCGTAAAAAAGGACAAGCACATTCAAAATGTGTTGAGAAGCGGATTAATGGACAACTGTTAAAAGTTTAAAAATGTTGCGTTTTGATGTGTCTTAAACTTGGTTGTCTCTCGGGCATCCTTTATGTATGAAGAAGGCCTAGAGGGAAGCTAATTATATTGGATGGAAACATCTACTTGGATGTTAAACTGGCAGTTACATGTCAATCACCAGGTTCATAAACCAAGGGTATGCTCAATTTTATAAACTACTGTGAATGGAACCTTTTTACTTCATATAAATTGTGTTGTATTCAACTATTCTTGATACAAGTGATTGACAAAATAGAAACAAATATATACCAAACATAGTAAATCAATCCTCCTTTGCTTTTGTAAGAGTACAGATTTAAGGCACTTTGACCTATACTTTTCACATTCCACAGCGAGAGGGGGTGTCCATTTTCTATGGAGTCTCAAAGAACAGCTCCGCTTTCACTCTGCAAGAAAATCCACATAATTTCCTAAATTGGGGGAAACGTCCATGAAAAATTGGATTTATATAAGAGTTCTTTCTCTCGTCCCAGATTTTACTGCGGCATGTTGGTATGATTCAGATTTTTACATTTTGTTGTGAACTTTGTATCCGTGTTGTTGCTTTGCCACCACGTTGCTGCACTGCCTTTGTGTGGAAAGTTTTAAGAAACAGACAAACTGATGCAGTTGAGTAAAACCACAAATGTAAAAACATGTTCTGATAATCCCAAACACTGACAATCGTATTGACTTTTTAATATCTTTTTTTTTTTACACAGCTGAGGCTCATTTCCTTTGTTTGTTGTTGTGAGGCTTCAAGGTACACAGTGACCTGTTAGTTGCTAGTAAATCATTTTAATCATCTTGAAAAACAAAAAAAACTTTTTTATTTTCAAGTAACACATCAAAAAATGTTTTTTGATGGTTTACTGACCAAACACAGATATACTAAGCTCTAAGATCTAAGCAAATTTCAAATGTTATACATGGAGAAAATGTTTAATAAATGTTCTGTTAACTGAAAATGTGAAAATGATTTAAGTTGAGCTTTGTTTCTGTATATCACAGCAACAAACATGTGTATTTTAAGTGTCTTGCATGTGAAACAAGCAAATGGAATAGTTTTGAGATGCATGGCTGAAAGTTGCTTTATTTTGCCAACATCAATTAAAAATCACTTTGACACAAACAAAAATGGATACACTTATAAGCAGATTTCTGAATCTCTGATCTCATATGCTGAAGATGTACCAGTAAACATTCATCCTTACAGTCTCAGAAAGGTTTTTTGCAGTTAGGTTCTGCGTGTTCTAGCAATAAAAGCAAATGCATCACCATTTTGACAGTTATACTTTCAAGTGACCTTTTTCATCAGGTCTTTCCCTTTTCAGGAATCATCCTTTGGCTCAAATTAGAGAGGTATCTTACCCTGATATTAGAACTGCCTATTTCTTGTTATTAGGTGGTGTTTGGAGATATGGAAAAGGTTTTAACATTAATGGATCCCCATTTACTTAATGAGGGACAATGTCATTCCCAAGACATTTGAAAGACATAATACAAATGTTTAGGATGAAAAAAGATTGTATGATAATTAAGATAAATCTACAAAAACATTATATCTTGATATGCACTCATTATTTTATTTTAGCATAAGTTGAACCAGTGGAGCTTGTACCACGTTGTAATGTGCCCATTACTTCTCCCTCATCTTAAAAGATATTCTGACGATGAGAATGCCGATTGGTATAAAATCATCCAATATTCCATTACACCTCCTCTTCCACAGGCACGCCTTTGTTGCTTATAGAGGATTCGTTTAGCACTCCCTTGTTGGAAGATGCATGGATGTTCCTGGAAAGGTTGTCCTAGAGGCAGTACATTTTGCTCTCAAATCTCAGAAAAGTTTTTAGCATTAAGGCTATAATCAAAGAAATGTAAATGAGCATTGCCAAGGGCAGGGACACAGCTACAGTGTATACCATCACAGAGCCTGGATTTTCAACACAGCGCTGACGGTTCTGTTGATGGTCCTCTCTTCATCTTTGGTTCTAAGAATAGGGTGCCAAATTCTTCAAAAGGACATGTTTAATGCTGATCTGACCACAATGCGCATTTCCAACTATCTGACGATGTGATGGTTTTAAGCCAGATGAAAGCATTTTTCCCCCTTTTTATACACACTTAAGTTTTAAGAGGGATTTAGGTGGGACTTATGGTCTGGGATTCCCAGGGTAATCCATTTCCCTATTGATAAATACAGATTTTTTATGCTTTACTGTCTAGGGACCAAAGATCACGTGTCCATCCTAGGCTTGCCCTATTGCCCTTTATGTGCTAAAATCCCTCCGATTGCTTGAAATCTACTGTAAAGCAAGAAACACACTAATCCCCTCCAAGCTTCCTTTGAGGAACAGTACTATTTATTGTGTTTTTAACATTCCCATTTAACATTCCTTCAGTTTTCAGACAAAGATGCTTCTGAAATAGTCCAACAAAAATCCGGTTGAGTTTCCAAGTCCAATTTGATAAACAGGTGATGGCTAACAAACCAGACATACCACCAGACACCATGGCAGTCAAAGCCTAGAAGAAGGCAGAAATGATATATTGTGCAATTGTAAGTGGGCTCAAGCAGTTGAAAAGATGTGGCAATTAAAAGCAGCAGCAAATTAAGTATAAGTAATTATAAGTAAAATAAGTGTGTTTGCATTTAGTATTTACTTGGATTTGTTTATGTACTCCTGATCCTCCTCATGGTACATTTATCTTGGAGAATAAGCCTCTACAGTCATTACACACTGAATTTCTGGCAAGGATTGCTCCAGGCTGTTCTCCTTCTGGCACTGGTCTGATTACTAATGAGTATTCACAACAAATCATATAAACTGCTGTTTTTCTTTAATACCATTAACCGAAGTAAAAAGATAGATTGAGAAATATGACCTTATTCTTTTAAAAGTCACATATTTCTGTGATTTTTCTGACACAAAAGCATGAATTTTGCTGAGGAAGTTTCTGTGCTTTAAAGCCTGTTTTGATCACAGCAGCCTCCCAAAGGATAGGATGTCAATTTAAAATCAGCACCATCTTCTCCCCCAAAAAAAACTATGAACAAAGGCGTTACTTCATCAAAGGATACAGCATCAAGAAGATGCCCATAGTCTGATATTTTACCACAGCCGAGACCACACTTGGGAAATTAAGGTACTCAATCGATCCATTTAGCAACTAAAAGCATCTATGAAATATTTAGGAATAAACACGCAAATACAACTGCTCATGAATACCATGACATATTTGGAGTCAATTCACCTGGTGAATAGAATTCTAATATATACCTTCTTTTCCATGTATTTTCTTGGTCTCTAAGCACTGCAGGGGAGAGCTACTAATCTAACATTTACACATCATACATTTTTTTATTTTAGAATGACTGCATACATAATGTCAATGGAATGAAAAAAGGAGTACCTTGTTTTTAAAGACCTAAAAGTATGAACTATTAACAGAAGTCATTAACAGTGCATTGCTGGTTCAACTGTTTGCTAACCTATGCTCTTGAATACAAATGGAATCCATCCTTTAAATATCTTGTAAGACCAGTGTATTTATGGATCTTTTGGAGCTTTACTGCAGCCTTCCAGTCTATCTGCCTTCTCCTGTGTCAGTTTGGCCAGCCTGAAGTCTTCTCTCACTTGCTGAAGCAGATCTGGGCAACACACTACATCCACAGCTGTCATAGCCAGAGCCTTAGCTGTCCTCAGGGTGTACAACTGGGCCTCTTCAGCTCCTGGCATCGGAAGGACATCAGTAGAGAAAAATAAAACACTGAGTAATTACAAAACAAACACATCTCGTGATAATGGTAGGAGTCATCTGAGAATCATTTAGGGTAGTTTAATCACAAAAAAACGTGCGTTTCAAAAAGCCATCCGAAGCCATACCTGCTGCTTTGGTGTATTCCTCTGTGTGGTTTAATGCACGAGTGCCAATGTAGAAGAAAGGATGGATACCAGGCACTATGAATGACACGTTGCCAAAGTCTGTAGAACCTGCCAGATAATTACAAAGTCAATGAAAACGACAGCGTGTTGACAACATTAGAGACATTTTGTTAGTCTCCACTGAAACACTTGTTTTTATCCCAATATTCTTTATACCTACCAGAGAAACTAGCTGGTTGCTCTGGAAACTCGACCCCCAGAGCTTTTCCGTTGCTTTCATAGAGGTTTGCTAATGTGGCATTAGGCAGAATGTTGTAGTAAGTATGTGTTGGGTAGTTTATGTCCACCTACAGGACACACAGATATACCTGCATTCAAAGAACATGTATCAAATCGTATTTTACTTTAGTCACTTTTCCTTTCCCATGGTGCACCTTATCTCAGCTTTTGGTTTTCCATCAGAAACACGTCTGATAACTCCTCAAGAGTGTTAAGGCCAGTACACACAGATAAATATTTGTGTAGCATCTCTCTTGACTGAAGTTTCTTAAGCATTAATGTAAAATTCTGCAGCCGTGTTTTCAGTTACCTGGCAGTCAGAAAACAGGATTTCAGTAGGTGTGTAAAGAGCCACAATCCTTTTGTAATGTGAGCTAAACCTTCCTTCCTCTGCAGAATAAGGACAACGACAGCCAAAGGGGTAACAGTGGATTATTTAACTGTATTGCAGCATCTGGATAATATTTACAGCGATAGTTTTTGTCTTTAAAAAAATTAATTGATAAGAGGAGCCCATTCTCCAACAAGGCATTCCTCTTCAGTACATAAACATGAATTCATTAGTCCAACATCAGGAGTATTCCCTGTAAGGCAATAACTCACCAGGCAACCAGTGGCTAAAGCAGCAGCCTTGAAGCAAGCCTCAGCTTTGGCCTTCAGGCCACAAAGGTCCTCAAGCTGTGGGGTGCGCAAATAAAACTCTAACTCAGAGTAGGCGGGGATGATGTTGGGCTTCACTCCGCCGTGTTTAATTATGCCTGTGGTGTAAAAAAAACTGTGATGCAGATGGAGGATAATAATGAGAGCATCATTATATTAAATGAGCTGAAGAAAAAACACTTTGATCTCTGGAGTGCTACACATGGAAGATGACTTGTGGTTTAGCTCCGCGTCAGTGGCTAAAAAAGCCTTGTTTCAAACACAATAAATACCACTGACTCAGTACACAGTGAAATATGTCAGTTTCATGATTTTATATTAACTCCCAAAGAAACTAAACCTGGAATAAAACTATTGTTTTCACAATGTTTTTCACAGTAGATATTTTATCTACTTAGTAGTATTTAGTAGATAGTAAACATTTAATGTGCATATTTACTTTTCAGCCTGCAATACTTTATTCTGGCTCGACAGTCCACATGCCTTGGACTTCCAAGTGTAAAGTCAAGACTAAAGGGTGAAGATATGGTTTCAGCCCTTCTCTGTTCCTCACCATGAAGTCTCCACTCTGGTTTGAGCTGTTGTCTGAGCACAGAGACGTTGTTATAGGCCAACACCGCTGCATCCAAAGCGTTGACTCCCTCCCAAGGGTAAGCAGAGGCATGAGAAGCCTGCCCGTGATACTTCACTGACACCCTGTGTAACATCAGAGGGAGAAACCAGAGATGATGGAAAAGTTCAAAATTCATCTGAGAAGAAAAAGAAACTTACTCAGCGATGGTGACAGTGGGCAGGAATGAAGCATCCTGCTGAGCTGGATGAGCCATGAAGACAACATCGACATCAGTAAAAGCCCCTGCCTGGATTAGGTCAATCTTTCCTCCTATGGCCTCCTCTGCAGGAGTACCAAGAACAGTTATCTGAAATAAATTGTGATCAGTTCAGTGACTTAAAAATTGATCCTATTCAAAAGTTGTGTTTGAACACCAGGGATATATTTCATTCTGACTGAAATAACATGGGGGTTCATAGGTCAGGTTACCTTTCCAGTAATACACATAAATAAGGCTGCTTTTTATTAAATTTTAAGTAAACATTTTCCAATTTGAAGGTTTTGGCTGCACTTTGTCGACTTGCAGTGTATTCTCAGAACTCAAAGGCTACCTTGACTGGGACAGGCAGTCCGGGCTGGTTTTCTAAAGCAAACCTCAGGCCCACTGCGGCCGCTACCCCCACTTCCGCGATGAGGTTGTGGCCGCACGCGTGGCCGATTTCCGGCAGCGCGTCATACTCGCAAAGGAAGCAAACGTTCAGCACGGAGCCCCCCTCCGAGCCGCCGATAGGTCCACAGGTGGCCCGGAACGCGGTGGGTGTTATGTAGTGCCTTTGGACGGTCCATGTGTGGTCCCGCTGTAAAAAGAACTGGACCAGCCTGTCGTGCGCATGCGTCTCTTCCCCGGCGACCTCTGGTCGGCACCAAATGTCCCGACTCAGACTGTGGAGCTCGTCTTTAAGAGAGTCTATGAACACTTGGAGAGAGTTTTTCACCTGCTGTCGTTTCTCCATCCCGCCTCCCTCTCTCTGCTGGCCCAAAGTCCAATATACACACAATTACCCTTTTCTTTATGTCCACACTGTGAAGTAGTTCTTCCTAAACAAACGGCGTGCAGTTAGTCATTAAAATAGTTAAGGTCTCGTATATTTCTTCCCCATGGAAATAAATAACGGAGAGTGGGCGGAGCCTCGCACCGGAAGTGATCTTAATTCCTCGCGCTGGAGATGCTGCAGAAATAATTAGATTATTCAAATTAAATTTTCTGTTGCTCACTTATCATTGCTGTTTTCTGAAATGGTAGTACATACATATGGGGGGGTGTTTATGGACAAATATGCAAGAAATATGAAAGCATGTGTTACTGTTAGCTGTAAACTGGGTTGACGCTCTGGGGCACAAACAAAGAAATGTAGAACATTTTTCTCTTTAAGGTCATTTTATGAGGATGTTGCAATTATTTAAGCGCAGTTTTTAAAGTAGGTCAAATTTTGAGTTTCATTTTTGACGGAGGCAGATATCAAGATATCAATTCTGTGTCAGATACTTTCTGTGATTCACTTACACAAATAATATCCGTAAAATTGTTTTATGTTATGTCTTAGGAGAGATTCTAATCTTTTCCTTTTTATTTGACTTACTTAGTGATTTTTTTAAAAAGCTAAAATTTGTAAACAATCAGTCATTTAGCAACTTTTTGAATTACAACCCAGTGCTAAAGTTTTAAATGTTATTTCTAATCTCTGATTAATTTCTTTCACCAATTTATGAAATGATAACAGCTAGAAGTGTTTTTTCACATATAATGTCATTTCAAATAGTTTCACAATGATGGAATTCCTCATGGCAAATTGAAGTATAGCAGCAACAAAGAGCAAAATAAACCAGGTCATCAGAAATGTGTTCCATGAATCCTTCAACTGAACATAAAGCTGCTCAAAAGCAGCAATGTCCAACAGCTGAAAGGATGAAACCCATGTCATCCAGAAATTCCCGTTTCTAGGGTAAGTGCAGAGACTGCCAACTTAATAAATGAGAAAAAAGCAAAAGCCCTCCAGTGTCTTTTAAGCAAGATGTGAAAGGGTTGCCATCTACTGGAAGTATCCCGACTCATTTCATGTTACTGTTAACTCAAAATACTGTTTTAGGCCACAAAGAACTGCTAAATAAAAGAGAAAGTATTACATGTGGAAAATTACCACCAAAACGTTTTTTCTATTCCATGAAATTACAAGTGAGTGAGTGAAGGTTAAAAGTCTCAAAAGTGAATCCTGTTAAAGCATTGAATTCTTTCCCCTTTTAAGATATTTGAAATGATCAATTTTATGAGGGTCCGCCACAAATTAAATCTGTTTGTTCTATGCAAACTGCATGAAGAGAACACATACGTGTGTACAGACACAAACAAAAAAGCTCCAATCTTAGCACCACTCGCCACACTAGAGGGACCCAGTGTCCTGCACATGTGTGTGTGCAATCCGCAGAGATGTATCAGTGATCTGCTGTTCTTTGTGTTTTGACTTGTAGAGCGGGCTAGAAAAAAACAGAAAGAGAATAACCTAGCTTGAAAAAGAGCACAATGCCAGCAGAGAATGTTTTCTATTAATTTATTCATTAACTGCCTGCAGTTGTAAAGATGCAGCAAACAAACAACACTTCCCACACTGGAAATGAACTGTGATCTGGATTCGAAAAAACAAGGTCAATTTAGTGCTGTTTGAATGAGTATGAAGCTTCACAGCTGTTACGCACCCAGTGCTATGTGCGTGCATGTGTAAAAATATGTGTCTGTCAGAGAGACTCAGAGAGCAGGTGTAGATGTATGTGGTTTCTGTCTGTATTTGAGCCGGAGGTTAATTGGGGGCGGTTGTCAGTCGCTGGAGGAGACATGTTGTACAGCGCTCAGCAAGCTGACACCGCCGCTGCCTCCTGACACGGCCTGTCTGTCAGCCTACTCTCTTGCGCCACTGGTGACGCTGACACTCTCTATTGTGTATCAATTAGGTGAGGGAGGGACCCATGTGTCACCCCATTGTCTTATTCATGGATTTTGCCCGGCGAGCATGTGTTTAATTTCACACGATGACATGTGCTTTCGGCCTTCGATTCTACAAATGAAAAACTTACTTACTTTTCTTCAAGGTATTTGAATATTTCTTATCACGCTCAGACTAGAAGAAACCACCAGTTGGGACAAATCTAGAATTCTATCTCTGTGTGATGTGATCAAACAAAAACCCATCATTATTTTTGCTATAGACCCCTCAGCTTTTCAAGGTCAGCTCACTGAGCGGAAGTGATAGATGAGTTATGATACGAGCCCAGGCTTTGCAACAGCAGGATTCCCCACAGAATGGTTGGCTTTACAGCTGCAATGATTGGATGACAGCATGTATCTGTGAAGGGAGATGAACCAAACAACATGCTTTACTTAGGCATGAAAGTGTTTTGAGTCATTTTCATCCAACGCATCCACGACTAAGTATGATCCAGGAAAGCATTAACTGTTAAGACAAGAATTAAAACTGCCCATATAATTTGTGATCTGAAAATCAACTGCCAAAACCAGTTTTAAAAAATCTAACTCATCTCACTTCTTTTGTTCTTAAATAATAATCTTCCAATTGGTGTCTAAACTGAATCAAATACTGCAAAAACCAATTGAGACTTGAACTCAGTCAAATTTGCTTTCAAGTACATACTAGGTGTTGCTTTCTTTATTATGGGTTAGTGGTGTAGCCGAAAGTATGACAAATTATATCTCATTTGTCATGGTCTGCAGCCAGCTCTACCCTGTTCCTAGGCTATGGTCAAACTTAAAAAAAAAAGAAAAGCATCCTGTCATCATTTCCAAAGCTATTTTCCTTGACCTAGTTTGAAAACATCAGGAGGTTATGGAGAGATGGCGAAAGGACTGAGAACTGACTGAAACGAGAGCTGATGAATAAATATTCTACAAAAATTAATTGGATGCTTTGAGTTTGACAAGTACGAAATACCTTTTCATCATCATTGAAAGTGTCCTACCCTCGCGGTAAGAAGGGAGGAAAATGACGATTGCTTTAAAATTGTTGCTCCATATAATTGTGGGTCAGAAGTCTCCTTTTTCCACTGGATCCAAGGGAAGAAGTACCTTTCCTTGGTTCCACTTCTAAAGAGATAAAATAGGAAGCAGTGAATCTCCTGTATTATTTAGAAAATGTTACCAGCTCTCACCGTGACTGCCAATCAGTTGCTTTCTGGTGATTTCCCCCAGTTAGGAGCCCCCTGAAGGTAAGAAAACTATCCAGCCAGACCTTAGATGTTTTTCTTTGTGTTTCTCGTGGCCCTTAGCTTGGACTATCTTTGTGCATGTGTGAGTGCCGTAGTTAGCCCAGACACCTGCCTTCTTTAAACAAGCTCTGCCGTGTGCTGTCACCTCTCAGCCGCACTTCACATGTTCATGTGGTTTTACTGCAGCAGACTTGAAGGACCTTGACCCTGTTAAAATAATTCTTCCTACCAGCTCTACAATCTTCAGTCAACTTCAGTTTTCCCAGTCCTCTGCAAAACAGTGACAAATCACTCTCTTCTGCTTTCATCTCAGAATCTCTGATCTTCTTTTGTTCCTTTGTTTTTTTTTATGACTGAAATGTGTGACAGTTTATCCAGACTGATAAGGACAAAGGCTTACTTACAGGCCACTAAATAAGGTCAAGTGTTTCTATTTTATGCTCTGAGGAGGTATAAACCTAAACATCTTAAACATACGTCGTTCATAGTGTTAGCATGTTCGACACCCAAGTGCCAAATTAATACCACAAATTCATCGGTTTAAAAATGACACCAAAGCTATATGAAGAAATGAATGTACAAGGTGTAATCTGAAAGCCTTTTGTGGCTACTAATTAATGCTCCATTCTGATTTGAAAAACTGGCAGTTTTTGTCTGATTTGCCATATGTATAATTAAAAAAAACAAGTTATCACTCCATGTTGTGTAATTCTCGTTGTCTGTGGCATTTTTATTTAGTATATGTTCATTCTTTTCTTTTCCTGGCACACATGTACCCCCATTAACCTTAAGTAATTTAGAGAACAGGCACAAACCCTGACAAGCGCTTAAAGAGCGTGATTTTAAACATGAGGTTCCAGCTCACTGAAGGAAACTGACAACGTGTCAGTCGAGCTTATTCTGTGGGATCACTATCAAACGAGACGCACCCTTTGAGGAGTCCCCTGTGACATCTCGCCTGCAGTGCCTGATACTGCAGAAATCCTCCGGGTAGTTAGAAAGTATCCCCTGCGGGCGTCAGGAAAAAGTGCCTGCAGGTTGACAGTCCCACACACTGTGCCTCTACGTTCACCAGGATGAAATACATTCACGCCTCAGTTTATCCAGTTGTCTTGTATCTTCAGTGTGTGAGGTGGGGGTATGATTGCGCTCTACATTATTTGTGTATTTTTTGTGCCGCTTGATGCTGTATCATTAAACACACCCTCAGCCTAATGTGTCAGGCACAATAAACTGCAAAAGCAATTAACGCTGACACCCTGAAGGATTCTATATATAAATTATATTGAATAATCCAGATTTTCATATAATAGAATGTTTATTTCTACCACAAATACATTTGCCCAATCAACACTCTTAATTTATTAGAAATTTTTACATTTTCTTTTTTCAACACTTAGCGACGAAACCTCATCTGGCACATACAGGGTCGTTTATTTTCTCCTCCCAAATGACTTGATTCATGAGCAGATCAATTGAGGATCACTGGAAAGAAGGCAAAAGAGATGACAGTAACTATCAAGGCAGCTGCTGGAGCAAACATTGTCTTTATCTTTTCAAGTGTTACTTGCCCATTAGTGCTGCTTTTGTTTTTTATCTCAGTCTTATCTGTCCCAGCTCAGACACCTCCCAAGTCCACACGGCATGCCCTCGGTCATCCCCTGCCATAGCCGCAGCCTTTCTTTGTTCAGCGGCGCTGGCTCCTGTCTGACCCAATAACATCAGCACTAGTGAGCAGTCTTGGCGACAGTGGGAGTACAAGTAGTCTTTATAACCACACAGGAACCATAGCCAGCAGGGTGTGAGCAGAGTGGAGCTGAATTCAAGAAGTGAGGATGTGTTTTTGCTTGTTGTGCTGTACGGCTTTCAAAAAAACAAAGTTTCTCCAGGAAGACGACAGAAAAGCCTGGTTCGTGG